CACCCAGGGCCGTGTGCACGGCAGCCTGGGTTTTCTCTGAGCTTGATTTAGAATGTCACAGGAAACCCAGCTTCTGGAGTTTCCACCTGTGCAAATGGTCAGCTGTTCTTTCACTTCTGCCGGCCCCTCTCCCTTGCTGGGCTCTGTCCTGGACCCCCTCTCTTGATGACCACCCAAAGCTTCTTCCCTGCTCCCAAACCTGAGAGTGCTTCCCAGTGGTGAGCCCATCCTCCCTGCTCACTCATCCCCAGAGCTCCAAATGTCCAAATGTCCAAAGGGATCGCACATACACCTGGAGCTGTACAGGCCAGGGGTTCCCCTCACTTCCCTTCTGCTAAACACTGTGGACAGGGACTTCCATCTGAACAGGACACAGGCGTGTGACACTGGCTATCAGTAAGAGTCCTCAGCTTTATTGGCCGTGTGACCTCATCTACCTACAGCAGAGGAGGTTCTCAACCTGGCTGCTTCTCAGCCTGGGCTGCGCACGAAACTTGCCTGGTGACTTTTAAAATCTCAGCGTCTGGGCTGCACCAAAGACCAGAACATCAGGGTCTGGGGATAAGGAGAGAACCAGACACCCGGCTTTGTCAAGGCTCCCCAGGATCCCAGTGGCTGCCAAGGCGAGAGCCACAGCCTCAATCATCAGTGTTCTTCCTTCTCCCAGCAAGCTCCTCCTCACCCGTCAAGACCCAGCCCCCTTGCCAGCCCTAGAGGATTTGGGGGTGCCATGTACCTTTGAGGTGCTGTGTCATTGTCTCAGCACCCAAAACGGCAGCCTGTGGCTCTTGTTCCAGCATCAACACCCACATCATTTACAAGCTCCCCTGGCCACCAGACCCAGGGTCCCAGTGGCTGCCCTGCCGGGTCTACTCCACAGTGATGAGTCCTGACCTCACATGCATACTTACATTTAAAACACTTCTGGGGTGATCTAATTTGGATTACAAACTCTCCTAGTCATTCAACAAACACTGGTGATGTTCTAATCTCTGCTTAGCCCTGGGCTATGGGTGGATGACGAGAAGGTCCTGGAGAGGAGAGGTACTAACGCACAGCAGGATAGGCTATTTGCCTCCCTTGAGAGGGGACGGTCACTGCCCAGTACCACAAGTACTATGACAAAGCCCGTAAGGAAGAGCTGCTGAATCTTTCTGGGGACGGAATGCACCACCAGTAGGATGAGGGTTGCAGTGTCTGTGTGTCCCAACACTACCCAGACCAACGCCCGATCAGGAGGCTGCAGCACTGCCTACCAGTCATCGCACTTGTGGGAGAGCCTGCAGACGGATGGGGTGAGAGACAACCTGCGTCCCAGCAAAGCACTCGGAGAATGCACTGCACAACCCACGGCAATGAGCCTGGGTTGGGGGTTGTGGCAGACAATGGACAGCAGCCAGCCATGTCCCTCTCAGGACCATGGAGTTGTGTAGTCAGCAGTCGACAGATTCCATTCCCCTGTCCTCCTTGCTGCTAGCTGTCGCCATGGGGCACCATGCTGGCCAATGAGATGTGGGTGGAATGCTATGGACCTCTGAGGAAGGTCTGTTGTCCTCACCTGAGCCTGTGGTATGTCTGATCAGTAGGAGAAAGCTGAGATGATAGTACAGGGCAGGCAGTGACACAGAATAACAATAGGCATCTTGACTTTCCCTGCTGGCAAGCTGTCCAAACCCATGAGGACATTCTGGACTCTTTGAAGGTTAAAATGAGAAAACAAAACTAAATTGGCTTTTTTTTTTCTTTGTAGTACTGGGGTTTGAACTCAGGACCTCACGCTAGCTAGGCAGGTGCTCTACCACTTGAGATACTTAGTAAGTCCTTTTTTGTGTTGGGTTCAAGATAGAGTCTCGAGAACTATTTGCCCAGTCTGACCTCACTCTATGATCCTCCTAATGTCTGTCTCCTGAGCAACAAGGATTACGGGCATGAGCAGCACAACTTGGTGTGCCCCAGTCTGCCAGGTGGGCTGAGCAACACAACCATGGCCCCTCCAGGTTTCTGTACAAACAATGAAATGCTGGATCATGGCTGAGCAGTGAGACCTATGAATCAAGTCAGCTAGCATCAAATTTATAGAAACCAGCTCCTGGAAACCATGTTGTAGAAACCAGCAGGGAAGCCACTGTAGGTCACTCTGTCTACTTAGTAAAGCATTTCCTATCTATGTCTTCATTTATCTTCACAGAGCCTCTGCAGGCCTGAGAGACCATGCAGCTGGAGGCCACAGTGCTAGACAAGAATCCCACTTCCCTGACTCCAGCCTCAGCTGTGCCAGCACCACTCCAGGCCTTGGGGTCATGCACACTCAGGGACACTGTACAACAGCTGGTCTGCATTGTGCCTGCAGGGGTGTCAGGAACCAGCAAAGGGGAAGAGCACAGCACCCACTGGATGCTTCACCTACACTGTCTTGGAACTCTGTTGTATGGAGCAGCCTATCTCACCATTTGGCAAATGAGGAAAATCAGGGCTTAAGTGGCTAAGCAAGGTCCAGATCTGACAATGTGGCCTCACGGTTGAGTGGGGCTTCGGCACTGATCTGTAAGAGGCTGAGGCTCCTGGTGCAGAAGCTTGCTGCTGACCACACATCACAGGGCTGGGTGATGACGTGACAGTGGCCTGCCGTCCTGGCACTGGAGAGGTCAGGATTCTTCAGTAGTGTTTTTAGACTTTAGTCCAAAATGTCCCAATACGTGAGGTATTTAAGTCTTAAAGCCATCTTGGAAAGAACAAAGTCTGTGTGTGCCTGCAAGCATCCGTGCCTGGAAACATTCGTATGGTGCAATAGAAGGCTGGACTTTCAACTCAGGCTTGCTGGGATCAAATCCTTCCCTTCTGCACCTCACAGTTCTCAGAAGGAAAGAAATAAAGTGAGGGTCACTAATCACTGGCATCTGCTCCCCCAGCCTGCTGAGACCCCCACCTTGGCAGCCCACTGCCTGGCTTTCTTCTACTGTGAAAACCACAGTGACTTCCATCTGCAGACAGCAAACATCTCTCTCTCTCTCTCTCTCTCTCTCTCTCACACACACACACACACACACATATACACACATGTACATGCACATGCTCGCACACTCAACTGGGCTTATTTCCTTTCTTTCTTTTTTTGGCTGGTACTGAGGTTTGAACTCAGGGCCTCATCCCTCTACCACTTAAGCAATGCTCTCAGCCCTTTTTACTTTTAGTTATTTTTTTAATAGGGTCTCACATTTATGCCCAGGATGGCCTGGCCTGTGATCCTTCTATTATGCTTCCCATACAGCTGGGATGACAGGCGTGCATCACTACACCAGCTTTTTATTATTTCAGATAGGGTTTTGAAAACTTTCTGCCTGGACTGGCCTCAAGGAATGAATCTCCTGATCTCTGCCTCCCAGAGTAGCTAGGATTACAGGCTTGAACCACACACCCACCCTGGGCTCATTTCTCAAATCCCCCCTTGGATGTATGCCAGAGCTATTTCCAATGAGTCATCCAGAGAACTTGAAACAGGTGAGCACAAACAACTCTAACCCTGTATTTAGAAGGGCGCAATGAGCTTTCCCACCCTTGCATGGTATTCTGGAAACATCAAAAGGCGGGTTGCTTTTTTTCTTCCTCTGCTTTAAAAAAAGAAATCTTTTAAAATTCTTTTTTCCAAGTGCTGCAGTCAGATAAAACAAAGCACAACAGTTCCTTAATCTCCTTTATCTGAAAAGAGGGCTGGCTGCCACTTGCAGATTGGGGTGCAGATAGATAACACCTCTCTTCTCCAGGACTTCCTCGGAGCAGTGCTGTGACTGAGGCCAGTTCTGAGGCAGACAACCACAACAGGCAGAAAGCCTTCCTGTCTCAGGCGCCACACAGCGCAGCAAAGTGCCCAGTGAATAATGGCACGGTCCCCGTTGCAAAGGCCTCGGGGAGAGTCCCAGACTATTATTTCTCAGCCGCACAGATATTACTGGGCCAGACTGTGGAGCACTGACAAACACCACAACTCTAACAGGACGGAATTTAGTCAGTAATCTCCTGGGGATACGCACACGTATTTCGCTTATGACGGCCTCCCGGCAAATCAGATTTGCAGGTCTTTAGTGTACGAAGCGCCCTAGTCAGCTGTGTGTCTCCTGATCGCTCCTCCCCACACAGACGCAGCTCCCGCTTTGCAGGACTCCAGCCACTGCCACAGCCCCCGTGCCCCTCCTTTCAGCCCCCCTCACTTCATTGTCCACTTTCAAACCAGACACGATAGACGCAGCATGGCCGAATCCAGAGTGGCGGAATTTCACTCTGAGACCGGGGAAATCACAGGGAACTCTTAGCTTTAAAAGCTGTTACATGAAGAACTAAATTAGCTTTCCCAGCCACGGAGAATGTCACGAAAATGACTGAGAGACTGCATCGTGACCTTGGCAACAAGCAGCTCACTGTGATGGCTGCTGTGGACTTAGTGACAAAGAATCAAGCACTGTGAGTGCACGGTGCATGTGTGCATGTGTACGTGTGTATGCGTATGTGCAGGTGTGCATACGTGTGTACATGGCGGATGTGCGCACACGGGTGTATGTGTCTGGTGTTTGCTTGTGGCACACACAGCCTTTTGAGACTTCTACTGTTCTCCTGGCTTGAAACACTTTGTAAATCTCTTGTGGTTAATCCAGGGTTTAAATTGAACTTGAACTGCCTTGCCACATCCATTTGAAGTCCCTTGGGAGAAAACGAGGCCCCATTTTGAGAGGAAGCACTTCATAAATGTAAGAGAGGATTACTCGGCCTGGGGTGAGTTCTTATGTAAACATATCCAATTTTGGTTTCTCAGCTGAGATTTCCAATCAGCCTGCATTCGGGTTCAGTCTTGATGGAAACTGCTGGCCAGACCTTGTTCTACTTACATAACACATCTTTAACTCTAGGGACAACCGTGAGAACACACTCCTGGCGAAGGAAGATGGAGGTGGGACACTCATGAGACAGGAGCTGTCGAAGCAGCGTGTGACAGCACCCCAGGTACTCACCATGGTCGTGGGCGAACACCAGCAGGTTCAGCCTCATCAGCATCTGAGCCAGATCATCATAGCGGCCACAGTGCTCCCCAGCACCGTGGGACACAAAGATGAGAGCCCTGCAAGGGTAAGAAGGGAGCCGGTTAGGAAAGCCACAGAGCACCGCAGCTTGTTCAGAACCCATCGTGGGCTAAACGTGTCATTCAGTCAGTAAGGCAGGCTGTGGTTAATGTACTGGGCTGCAGAACCAGGCAGAACGCAGCCCAACCCTGGCTCTCTCTGCAAGTTCTCAGCAAAGTGTGCCACGAGACCACTTCTTCACCTGGAAAGCCGTGCGACATGCCCATGGGTTCTTGTGAGGTCATTGGGCCTCATCTATGCCAAGGGCCAGCCAGAACACTGACATGTGCAGCCCCATCAGGACTGCTTTCCTACTGGGCCAACAAGGGGAATTTAGATTCTTCTTCTTCTTTTTTTTTGGTAGTACTGGGACTTGAACTCAGGGCCTCAAGCTTGCCAGGAAGGTGCTCTACTATTTGAGCCACACACCCAACCCTTTTTACTTAAGTTATTTTTCAACCTTGCACTTTTTGCCTGGGCTGGCTTCAGACCTTGTCCTCCTATCTCCACTTCCTAAGTATCTAGGATCATAGGTGAGTGCCACCATGTTCGGCTGGAGTTTAGATTTCTAAATATCCAGTTTGCAAGACTCAGTTCTTAGCTGGAGTCCCTTCAGGCAAGAAGTGGACATTGTGAGGAGCACCTGGCAATTTCTGCTGATATTGTTGGGGGGCAGGGGCCCCAGAGCTACCCCCTCCCCCACTCTAGTGCACAGAGCCCACATGAGCAGTGCACATGTGCTGGGGAAGAAACCAATATGCTCAATTCTGCCTTCCCCACAATTCTTCTCAGTCAAGCCAGGTAAGCCGGCAGTGATGACAGCAGCTTTTTATCTGCCGTGTATTTCGGTTTTTGAGAGAATCACCCTGGTAGTCTGTCCTGTCCTCTTCCTGAAAGCACAAGGGAAATGCTTTCTGCCCTCTGTGGAAAGCTACTGTGCCCTGCCACTGTGGTGGCTCAGACTGCAGTGTGGACAAGTCACACCTGCACTGTGCTTGATTCCAAGCTTGGCAGATGGGTTCCTCCTGTCTCCCTCAGCTGCTGAGGAGCATGGCTAGGACCTCCGATTAGTCATCCTCCATCTTCAAAGGGGCTTTGCTTCCAAAGGGATGGCTTGAGTGTTTTCACACCCTTGGGAAAGTACTTGCTGTACATGTTGAGCCCAGAGCTAATAGGAGCAGAAGAGTGGTCAAGCCAGCTCCTGCAAGACATCAGCCCCTCACTGCAATCAGAAACCTCTGGCAGAGGAGAACTTCAAGGTTGCATTTAAGGCCCAAAGAAACAGCACAGACATCATCATTTTACTTAAGATAGATCCCCTCCCCGGTGGGAAATGCTTGGCCCCTCGCTCGGTAGCAATGCATTCTGCCCCAGCGGGTCTCAACTCCGACCACACAACAGAATCACCGGATGGTTCTGAAAACTGTTGAGGCCACCCCCAGAAGGCCTGGGTCTAACTGCTGTGGGACTGGAGAAGCTCCAAAGTACATCTGTGTAGATCTGCACATCTGCTCTTATCAGTCAGACCTGGGCCCCACTGATGCTCAGAGGATCCGTGAAACTCAACAAGAGTGACAATGCTGCCACTTCAGGGCTAGGTGGACCACAGGCTCTGGCAATCAAGGGGTGGAACCTTTGGAAACTTGGTGCTGTCTTTCCGTGGAAGAAGCTGCCCATCACAAGAGACAATGTCTCTCTCCCTGTCTCTGCACCTGCAGGCTCAGCTCTCCCATCCCCACCCAGCCCCACCCCAGTCCCTGTGGATGAGCTCAGACCCACACAGACACCATGCTCTTTCTGGTCTGAAATTTCTACTCAGTGAGTAGATTTGCCTTGGTTCCTGGATTCAGATCTTGCCTCAGTTCCCACTCACTTTTACCCGAGACCTGGACCTGAGTCTGTCTGATAGAATCTGCTTGGTGGAGTGAACTCAAATCCAGACTATTACCACTGCAACAAGCAAAGCCTGGCTGCCTCTGAACGCCCCCCACCCCCAGCCCGTCAGCACCCCTCCCCTCATCCCTGCACTTCCCCACCTCCCTGCACACAGCTTCACACTTCCTTCTCCAAGCTCAGATCCGCCAACCAGGACTGTGCAGCCAAATGCTTAACTGGAGGTGGGGGTGGGGTGCCATATATGCTGGCCCTTCTCCACGGTGTAAATGTGTCCCCACTGCCAGTATCCAGCTGTTGATTATGTCACTGGAAGTCCAGCTGAGGAGAGGTGAGCCCAATCCACTCTCACACGCCGGCCGCTCGAGGGCACCACTGGCCAGTGCTCTCCCACCTGAGCCTCTGCACCTACCCAGCCTTCCCCTGGGGCCTCCGCATCCCTCAATCTCTGCATTCCAGCTTTGCTTATCCCGTGGTCTCTGGCTCAGGGAGGCCTCTGACCATGGCAGTGGAAGCAGCCTCTCCAGCACTTGCCTCCAGCTACCATTGTTTATTGCTGGATATTTTCTTCTGCCTCCCTAGGAGCAAGTGAGTGCACAGGCTTACCATCTCGTTTACTGCTGCACTGTGGCTGAGAGACTCGGTGGGGCAGTGGAGCTGAGTGGGGAGTGGTCACCCTACTGACTGGAGGACTTTCCACCAAGCTGAGTCCTGGATTCTTCCATCTGCTGAAGTTCCCAGGCTTGGAATGCAGGCCTGAGGCAGGAGCCTCCCGGGGCTGCACTTGTGAGTGAGGCGGCCATCTGCTTTCCCACTGCTCTCCCCCCACCAAGCAGACCTCCCCCACCTGCTGTGGGTGCAGCCACCATCACCCCTTCTCCTATTCCCTCTGCTCCCTCCCCCGTCCATCCTGGGTCCTGCCCTTCCCAGCTCCCTGTCTTTCACATTTGTCTCCTGTAGTAAAAAGACTTCCCCCAGCTCCAGGTTTTCTATGGAAAGTCCACTTTCACCCCAGGATGCTGGTCACCACTTGGAAACTTCTCTTTTGGGATTTCTGGAAACATTAGGATTGCATTTCTGCTTTGAAAACATCCATGGCTGAGCACTGAGAAACCAAGACCTGCAGTCAATATGCATCACAGTTGCTGGGAGGCTGTGAACAGGAAGCAAATTCAGAAACCAGAACAATAGCCTGGGCGAGCCACCTGACTCCTCAGCTGGCCTCATGGGGTGGTGGCCACTGTGACACCTAAGATAGTCCAGAAGCATGGCTGACACTTGCTAGAGCCAGGCCCTGGGGACTTGAAGAGAAATGATGTCTCTGTCCATGCAGAGTGTAGGGTCTAGCAGGAGAGACAGACGCTCCACTGGGAACATGCTTGAGCCTGTGTTGTGAGAGGGCCTGAGCACAAAGAAGGGCCCTATCTGAGCTTGCAGGAGCAGCCGGGTGAGGTCCTGAGGGATGTATTTGAGAACTAATGCCCAGGCCTGGTGAGAGCTGTCCAGGTAAGGTGAACAGGTGTGCCAAGGTGTGCCCATTCCAGACACAGAAAGGGGGCCCAGTGTCCGGACCCTGTTTGAGAGAAGGAGAGGAGAAGGGAGAGCAGCCCTAAGGTGCGGGCAGCAGCCGAGTCCAAAGGCCCAGGGCAGCACTGGGGAGCTGGGGTACTTCTCCAGAAAGAGGATGGCACAGAGCAGGCAGTGACCTCAGCTTTGTGAAGTTCGCCTGGCTTCTGTGCAGAATGGAGCCAGGAGATGATGTTTGTCCAGGAGCTGATCCAGCCAGTGGACAGTGACCCACCCCCTCCCCTCTCCCCCGGTGCCCACATCCTCAACAAAGAACGGCAGCCAAATACCAGCAGAGAGCTTCTGCAGACAAGGCAGGACCCACAGCAGCAAAAATTAGGTTGCAGAAGAGGCTGGCAGAGATCTTTTTCCTGGAACTTCCCTAGTGGCTGCAGCCAGTCGGGAGCCAGTCATTCAGGGAGGAGGCAGCGGCTGTGGGAGGGGAGGCCAGCCCCAGGAGCAGATGGCCTGCCTGGCACCCAGCCCTGGGAGGCGGGGTCGCTCCCAATAAAGCCCTGGGATGAACAAGACACAGAACTTCTTAGAATGTGTAAACTGCATTACACATGTAATGCCCTCATTACATCACATGGCTTTTCTTCCCCCACCAAAAATTCATTCCCCATTTCTTCACTGCTTAGGCAACCAGCTTCTCTGGGTCCCAGTTTGCTTGTCTGTGAAGTGGGGATAATTCAGCAGCTCCCACCTGTGGGAGACCGTGCTGTAAGATGAATAAGAAAATGTGGATGGCAAGTTCCAGGACCTTCTGGCCTCAGAAAGCCTCCATAACCATCCCCGTGGAACCATCTTGAGTTGTCCACACCTCTGCACTGCAGCTTCATGTGCTATGGAGGCTGAGGGCTAAGCCATGACCCTCCATAAGTTGATTCCTAGACAGCCAGGGTTTTGGTTTCTCCACCTGTGACATGGGGCCCTGGGGCTCTTTCCTGCCTACCCTCCCCACACAGCACCAGGCTTCTCTAGGGGAGAACATCCATCTGAAGTAGGCTCTGCCCTTCTTATGAAGAAAGATTTGGAGAACCATGTGCTTCTTGTTGGAGAAATGTCCCATCCAAGGGCCAAGGTCACCATTCCCCACACTGGGCAATGAGTGTGGACATCACGAGCTCTGCCCCAGTGACCCTTCCAACACCCCAGGAGGGGTGGGAGGGCGTCACCGGCCTCCCCAGGACAGCCTGTGTCCCTAGCTCTTGCATCTCTGGAGCATCCCACTTACTCACTGAGGCGCTTGCCTCACCACCACGTGTCCCAGACTCCTGCCTGGCAAATCTTAAGACTTTAAATTGTTCACAAGTCCCATCTGTCCTGGGTCTGTCCTGGGCTGGCGTGTGGGTCTGTGAGAGTGAGTAGTTCCCTTTCCTGTGACTAAAGCAGCAGCCTACGGGCTCTGTGGAGACCCAGTTTTAACTTCTGTCCCCTCATGGGGTCCAGGGCTCCAGCTCCTCCCTATCTCTCACAGGGTGAAAGAACAGAGCCAAACCACCAAGAGCTCTGACATCTCACAGAGGAAACTGGAAAT